GCTTGGAAAGCGGGGAGAATGGCGCTAGGCTTACCGCACCGTGACGTCACTGCTGGAAGATGGCAGGAGTGTTACTATATTTGGGCAAAAATGGCCGCTCCCAGACTCAGTGATCACGACAAAAAATATTGCTTTCATAATCTTATTAATTAACACTTAAATTCATCAAATCTCTGTGAACGTATTAGTTTTAGGTCTAAATAATGATCCTTTGATTATTCCTCGCTGGCCGGACTTTTCCTTTATAGCATTGATGTTCTAGATGCACAGTTGATCAAAATGAAATCACCAACCTCCTCAGCTGGTCACCCAGTTTTGCAAAACCATGTTAACACTGCAGTTTAAACCAGTAGTGAGTCTTGTAATCATTACTAAATATATCATTAATAACCATCCCACACAAGATGATTGACTGTAAAACATCACAAGTGAGTCACCAGTTTTTAATGAAATTAGCAGTTTCAATTTAGGTTTAATTGCTAACTTTGGCCTCAACTGGTTTTTGGAACAACTTCTTGTCCTACCGGTTGCTTTTTTTTTTTTTTTTGAAGTATTTTTGATGCCACATAACTGCTTTAATTAATCAGAAATTAATGATTTCCACATAAGCTGCCAAGATTTGGTTCAACTTAGGCTCCTGAACAAATTTTAAAATGTTTTCTCACAGTATTGCTTTCTGTTCAGTTTTATTTTTACTCACTTTATAGAACAGAATATTATTAACCGGGTTAAAAAGCATTTAAGGATCTTTAAAATGCCTCCAACCTCATTGGTTAATTTAGGCAGCTGCATATATATGAAGAAAGCACAAATGGGGGCACCGTAACATTTTCCCTCTGTCCTCCTTGTTCTTCTCAGTTAGTCGATTATTTTATAGTGCAATCCACCAGTACCTGACAGCTGTATTTACGTATTTAATGAACTCATATGTCTGAGCATTTGATTAGGGAAAATAACATTAAAAAGAGCGTAAGACTCAAACAAAGAGCTCTTGACGTTCCAATGCCGTTTTATGGTTTGATCTGTAAAATTACAATGATGGGAAGATTCTTATAAATCTATTTAATTTCAGAGTAGATGATTGACCATCAATGAAGTGTATTTAAAAATGATTTTTTTCTCATTTTGAATGATGGAAAAGTAATTTCTGTTGAACAATTTGGAGTCATGTAATGTTTCTTTTTTCACTGCTTGAGATACTGATCGATGAAATTTTACATTTGTATTCATGAAGTCATTATTCAGTAATTTTTCAGTGTTTTTTGTTTGAAATTGATGAAATGTAAAGACGTCTCCTGAAACTAAAAACTGTCTCTATTATCTCGAGATAACAGGTTTCAGTAACGTCACCACAAAGATCAGTGTAGATCATCTCTATAGAGCAAAACCAGAAAACAGATTATAAAACAGTTTATATCTGTCTAATCCTGACATATATTTGAAAGGAGCAAAAGGATACAGAAAAGTACGGAAGGACTGCACTGCAAAAACGATCTAGAAATAAGTAAAAATTTCTTAAATTAGGTGTATTCACCTTTAATTTGAGTAGGTAAATGAGATAGTTTGCCAATGGAATGAGTAATTTTACTCTTAAAAGAAGATAATTAGATAATATGCACTTGAAATAAGACAATGCAATTGTGTTTTCTTATTTTAAGTGTAAATTGTCTTGTTCCATTGGCAAAACGTCTCTTTTACCTCCTCAATTCAAGAACAAATGCACTTATTTTGAAGAAAAAATGACTTCTCTAGATTTCGATTTTTTGCAGTGTGGTACCTTCTATAGCAGGGGTCGGAAACCCAAACTGCTCTAAGAGCCATATTGGACTAAAAAAAACAAATCTGTCTGGAGCCGCAAAAATGTAAAAGTCTTCTATAAGCCTCGTATGGCAAAACGAGCTCTAAGGATATTAGCCCACTATAAAAAAAAAAGGATTACATGGACTTAAATATATAATAATCATTCATGATTAAATGTTTATCCTGGAGCAAATGTCACATAGCAGCATGAGGTGAGGAAGAAGCAGTGAACGCTCTCACCGCCTTTCACTGCACGGTTTAGCTTTTATTGCATTGATGAAATGATAGAAACGCGATAAAGGAATCTTTCTATGGTGGTTTGTTTCTGCTGGGAGGAACTGATTGAGTCATGAGGAACCAAGCAGGAACTGACATCCATCAGAGCAGAGCTCTCTAACCCTGAAATCCCACATCCTCCGTCACCAGCGTTCCTTAATGTTATTTTTACTTTGAGGATTTGGGGAAAAAATTTAAGAAAGTTCCCATCCCTGCATCAAAGCGCTACCTGTTGGATCTGTTAATGGTTTTCCATCCTTGCAACAAAACTAGCAGCAGTAGTGGAGTTTGGAGATGCAATCCACTTCTTAAATCTATCTTTGCTCTCCTCTAATTTATCCAGAAGTTCTGCAACTGCATTCTTTCTCTCACTCCCAACTTTGTGATCGGCTGCAAATATAGCCTTCCCTGGAAATACTCTTTATTATATGACAACTTCTCATTACAAAGCAAAAATGCGGACAGTCCTTCCAAATAGATAATGAAAGTAAATGATTCGCTCCATTCTTCTTTGAATCCCCTGTTCTCATCAGGTATCTTCCCTGTTGGGATCCATGGCCTGAGACCCACCTGTCGCTTTGTTTGCCTGAGACGTGTTGCAAACTATGACCACTGATCTCTATGGCTATTACACAAATATTCATTGAAAGAAATGTTTACATTTATTTAATTTCAATTTGAATTCAGTTTATTTCAATATCGCCAATTCACAACACATGTCGTCTCAAGGCAGTTTACAGTTCAACCAGATCATACAGTCAATTGATTCTAAGTTTTCTATCTAAGGAAAACCA